CCCGCGCAGCCCCGGCCGGCGCCCACCATGCGGCGGCTGCGGCGCCTGGCGCACCTGGTGCTCTTCTGCCCCTTCTCCAAGGGCCTGCAGGTAAGCGCGGCGCCTGGCGCGGGGCCCGGGCCGCCCGCCGCGCAGACCCGCCGCCTCTGGGCGCGGAAGGGCGACGTCCAGCCCCGGGGGTGGGGCCGAACGCGGAGGGTGGGCCCCGATTCAGGACCCAAAGGGTTAACGAATGTGGGTGGGGAGGGGTGGCCCCCGGGCGGGAGGCAGGGCCGGGGACTTGGAGAGGACCGGGGACGGGGGAAAGGGTGGGGAGAAGCGGGGCGGAGGGTCCTGGCGCCGCGGATGCTGCGGGCTGGCAGCCCCCGCCCCCCCAGGCCAGACCCTGCTCCCCGGGTCCACAGGCCACACCAAAGTCCTTTCCTTTTCTCTCCACTTAAAAAATAAGGTGTGCTTTTCTGCTGTAGAAAACTTGGGATACATAGAAACGCCCTAGGAGACACTGACCTCCCCTTGGGTCATCCCATCAGCCAGCCAGAGAGCAGGGAGCGTGCCCTGACCAGGGTGACCTTGGACCAGTCACCGCCTGCAGGGGAGGCCCAAGCTGCCTTGGGCTCCAGCTGCCCGAAACCCTTTCACCTGCTTTGGGGAGGTCCGGCCAGGCAGCATCAGTCTCAAGCCGTCTAGGACCCCCCCCTCACGTCCTCCCAGGCGCTCCAGGACCCCAGGCACTTGCGGGAGGGCGCCGGCCTGGTCAGATCAGTGCGGTCCTGGGTCAGTGTGGGAGGGTGCCTGCCCGGGTCCTGTCCTTGCTGAGGGCATGGCTGGCCTCCGCTCCCTCCCCGGCAGAGGGGGTGCAGCCCTGAAACTCACAGGTTGCACTGCCACCCTCTGAGCCCAGACGCCCTGCCTGCCTGGCCAGCCCAGCCCTGGGCAAGGTGGGAGCTGAGGGGTTGGAGGACCGCTCCTTACGCCAGGAGGCGGGGTGAGCATCCACCCCCAGGCCTGAGGAAGGGCCTTGACCCAGAGACCCAGAGCAGTGCGCCAGGCCCTCTGAGCTCTGCCCAGGAATGGTGGCAGAGGGGTTTGGGCCCGTTTCCCTGGGGCTGGCTCAGGGGGAGAGCTCTGGTCTGAGCCCAGTCCAGCCCCTGGCAGTGTGGCCATTCACGCTGAGCCTCAGACTCCCGGGCTGTGAAACACCCTTCTGGGTTGGTGGCCAGGGGCATTTGGCTGTTACCAATTCCGGAGCAGCTCCCTCCACCCTTCAAGTGGCTCCACTGGGGAGCTGGTCCCCTCCTGCCCCTGCAAAGCCCAAGCCCAGGCCTGGCGGGGAGGGGCATCCTCCAGACTTGCCAGTCTGCCCCCCACAAGCCCCCTGGAGCCTGGGTGGGCCAGACAGTACCCTGGAGGCCCCAGGGGAGTCAGGACGGCTCCACTGGAGCCGCCAGAGAGGGAGCCGCCCGCACAGAACCTGAGCCCACAGCCTGAGTCCCCGTGGGTCTGGCTGGGGAGTGGGTGGTGCCTGGGCTGGGCCCCTAGTTCTGGGTCACTTTGTCCAACCCAGGCAGCCCCTGGGTCCAGCGACGGCCGCAGCCTACCCACCTCCTGGCTGTGCCCTAGACCCCCAGCCCATGCTGGACCTCCCTGCTCGGCCTGCCTCGGGCATGCTCCCCTGAGCCAGTTCTCCGACCTCATCCTGCCAAAACAGCACCCCCTCTAGCACCGCCCCCCACTGTTTCTCTGCTTTCCTGTTTTTCGTTTTGCACAAATCTGACGGAAACAGATGCAGTGCCAGGGACAAGTGGGCCCGAGGGGGCGGGGGCCCAACCTGGGCCGTGGCTGTCTCCAGCGGAGCTGTGCCCCTCCCCCAGCTCCCTAGAGTCCTCCTGCCCAGCCCCTCCTGGGGTGGCTGCCCAGGGAGCTGGTGCCAGGGAAGCGGGGGTGGGCTGGGGGAGGGGTTCCTCCCCAGCTGCCTAGGCTGGGCCTTGTCCTCTGTGGGGAGCTGGTGGCCCCATTTCTCAGAGGAGGAGGCTCCTGCCCCAGCCCCGAGCTCCCCAGGACTCAGCAGGGCTGGAGCCCATGGCTCCTTACTGTGGCTCTGCCCTGGGGCTGTGGGGCATATGGCCAGAAGGTCCCAGGGGGGTGGGGACATGGCTTGGCCCAGTGGTCATCCTCTTCTGGTGGCAGGTAGACAGGAGGCCACTGGGGTGCTTGGTGCCAGCATCAGGGCCCCCTCTTGGGGGGGAGGCTGGCCCCGAAGTCTGCGCCCTCCTGCGCTCAGCTGTGGGTCAAGGATGTCTGAGCCCCCGCATGGGACAAGCCACCTGGTAACACAGTCCCCTTTGCTTGCCGTTCCTAGACAGCACCCCATGAGGGCTACAGCTTGCCAGGGCAGGGGGTGGGGGAGGGAGGTCATACCCAGCTGTCCCTTGCTGTCACCCTCAGAAACCTGGCTGGGAGGGCTGGGTGGGAAACAGTGCCCCCAGCACCTGAGCCAGGACGCTGGGACCCTCACACCGTGACTCCACTTGACAGTAGGGGAAACCAAGGCAGAGGGCTGAGGCAGAGTGACCCAGAGCCCTCTGTGAGCACAGTTCCAAGACCCCAGACGTCTGGGCTGGGGCCTCTGGCCGTGGGGCAGGGGCTGCTTATATTTTTTTCATTGTGCTAAAATACACATAACATTTTCCACTTTAACTATTTTTACGTGCACAGTTCAGTGTCATTAAGGACGTTCCCACTGCTGTGCAGCCGTCGCCACCATCCACCCAGAGAACTTTCCATCTTCCCAGCCTGCTGCTCTGTCCCCATGAAACACCGGCTCCCCCCCGCTCCGCCCCTCCACCCCCACCTTTCTTCTCCCTGTCTCTATGGACTTGACGACTCTGGGGACCTCGGAAAGGTGGAATCACACAGGATATGTCCTCTTGTGACTGCCCACGTCACTGAGCATGATGCCCTGCAGGGGCTTGTATCGAAATCTCCTTCCCCTTGAGGCTAGACACCCCTGCACCCCCATGGATGCTGGGGCTGCGTCCACCGCTTCCGGCCCGCAGCCTCCAGCCCCGTCCCCACCACAGCGGGAAAGGGGAAAGGCAGCGTCGCTTGCGTGCTTGGGGCGGGTGGACCCTCCCCAACCGCCAGGTGCTGCTCACGGGAGCTGGTACAGAAGCGAAAACGGTAGGAAATTCATTCGAGCAAGACAGGACAGTTTCTGTGAAGTATCTTTATTCAGCAAAATAAAGCACTGGCCACCCTCTACCCCATTTTGAAACGTATTTTTACCTGCCCGTGAAATGTAAGTCTGGGAGGCGCCACCCCTGCCTGTAGACCGCACGTGGGGGAGGGAGCCGGGAGGGGGCGCCGAGCCCATGGTGGACGTGGCCCTGGAAGCCAGAGGGGGTGCCGGAGGCCAAGGGGTCCCGAGGCTCCTTATCTATGAAATGCGGGTCAGCACCCCCAAATGCAGGGCGCTGACGGCACTTCCTCACGTGGCTCCCTCCCCGAGCAGGGCCGGCTCCCGGGCCTCAGGGTCAAGTCCGTCTTCCTGGTCTGGCTGGGCATCTTTGCGGGCAGCTGGATGGTGTACCTGCACTACTCGTCCTACTCGGAGCTGTGTCGCGGCCGCGTCTGCCAGGTGGTCATCGTAAGTGTTGCGGGGTGTGGATGAGATGCTCAGCCCGGCCCTGGAGGGGCCTGGTGAGGCCCTCGGCCGTGAGGCCACGAGGGTCTCAGGGTGGAATCTGCGCTCTGCAGAGCAGCCTCTGGCCGGGCGTGGAGGATTGGGGGTCGGGGGGCCAGTGGGGAGATAGGGGGGCTGCTGTGGGTGCCCAGGAGAGCGTGGGCGGCTTGGACCAGCCAGTGGCTGGGGACAGGGTGGAGTCCGGAAATGTTTGGGAGGGAGGACGTTTTAGCAGGGGGACCAGGACGCACAGCTGTCCTCACTGCGGCAGACTGGAGGACACCCCTGTGCACTTGCTGGGCGGCCTCCAGGGTTCCTCCTGGGGCAGGGGCCTTCCAGAGCCCGCACCCCAGGGAGATGGGGCTAAAGTCCCCCCAGTGGGTGAGGATGTGTGTGTGTGAGCGAGCGTGAGCACATGCGTGTCAGCCTGTGAGCTGCTCTCCATGCCCTGTGACTGGCTGGGGGAGAGGGTGCGACAGCCCCATTCTCCTGGCAAACTCCAGTTCCAAGAGCTGGGTGGACCTCCATGGTCATCTTGACCCCACCCTACCTGGCCTGCTGGTAGCCGGAGCCCTTGAGACGCTAATGACCGGGTCCCGATGCCTCCCCTCCACCTGGGGCCAGATGCTGTCCTGTAGCAGCAGGAGCTCCTGGGGCGTCGAGGGAGCACCTCCCCCGTGGGGCTGTGTGGCTGCTGAAGCTGCAGGGTGGGGGCGGCTTCAGGCGGGCCTGCCCTGGCCACCGCTCCTGGCTCCCGAGGCCCTGGGCCCTGCAGAGCCCTGTCTGACAGGGTGGCTGTGGGGGAGGAGGGTGTGGGGATCCGGGCGGGCAGAGCCCATGTGACAGAACTTGTGTGGGGCCTGTTGGTCCTGGGGGACGGTTACTGGACGTGGGAGCTCCCGGTGTCTGGGAGTTGGCTGCTGACTAAGGGCCTCCAGGCCAGCCAGCGCCCCACTGGGGGCCCTCACGTCCCTGCTCCGATGCACTTGTCCATCCCAGAAGTACTCAGCAGTGGCTTCCAGGCACCAGGCCCGAGCTGGGGGACAGCCCCGCCCCACAGTCCAGGGGCCTCTGAGCCGGGCGGGCGGAGGGTGGGCTGGGCCCAGGGCCGAGGGTGAGGGCTGCAGGGCGCACCCTGAGTGGACTCACCACGGGCAGGACAGCGGCAGAGGGGCCAGGCCTCGGGACCAGGGAGGTGAGGGTTGGGCACTGGCCAGTGGGTGCAGAGAGCAGGTGGTCAGGGCATTGGCAGCTGTGTTCCGAACGCCCACAGGGTGCCAGACCGAGCAGGCCGCCGCGGGGAGCAGAAGGACGTGCCCCCAAATGGGGAGGCTGCAGCGTCCTGGGCTGGCTGGCCCTTCTGCCCAGCAGGGCCCTCCCAGAGGTCACTGCCATCCTGGCTCTCCTGAAGCCTGTCCCCAGGGGCCGTGGGGATGTCCCCTCCTTTCCAGAGGAAGCCCTCCCACCACCTGCCTGCTTCACACGGGCATTAGATACCTCAGGTTCCCAGGCCTGTCCACGTTCACACGGGGGTGGTGACAGTGCCAGGGGTCATGGATCAGGCACTAGCAGGGCTGGGAGGTGAGGGGACTTGCTGGGGACCTGATGGGCAGCCTCAGCACCTGAGGAAGCCCCTGTAGCCCTGGTGACGTGCAGGGAAGGTGCCTGGGAAGGTGGTGTGGGTCCCGGAGCCCTGGCTCCCAGCTGGCGGTGGGCCATGTGGCCAACTCCCGCCATTGCCCCCCCCCCCCACCTGTGCGGAGCAGCCTCCTGCCGCTCTGGCGGTTCGCAGTGTAGAGTAGAAGTCCCCTAACCAGTGTCGACGGGGGTCCGAGCAGAACCCTGGCACCGAGAGCCTGCCTACAGGTGTGGAGTTTTCATAGTGTCCCTTGTCTGTCTGGAAGAGCTGTGGTTTTCACACTGCCCCTGGACAGGCACTGCCTTCGTGGTTCACGTGGCTGAATCCATGGCCTCTGGCTGGCTCGGTCTCATTTTTGTCCCCAGCCCCTGCCCTCCCCCCACCTTGGATGGCAGGATGCTTGGCACACTCCTCCCGCTCTTCCTTCCTCCAAGCCTGGCCGACAGCACCCGGCCCTGTGGCAGCCGGTGTACCTCCAGGAGTTCACCCCACGTGCCCCCGAGAGGAAGGGCTGGACTCCATGGGTGCCCCATGACCTCCTGGCTCCCTGCTTTCCCTGGGATTCGGGGCTGCAGGGCCCTGTCTGATTTAATTACTGCCAACCGTGTCTCCTTGTGCATCTGGCTGATGAAGGGCCTGGCAGGGAGGACAGGGCTGGGAGTAATTGTCGGGCCCCAGGGTGCTGTTTTCTGAGCTGATGGTGACAAACAGCACTGGTAATAGCAGTCACTGTGCTCTGAGCCTGGCCCCACGCCACACTGACGCCCCAAGATGAGGGAGCACTCTCCCACCGCAGTGGCGAGGAGGTGGAGGCTGGGGGCAGCCGGTGGGCTTGGTCGCCACCTCGCAGCATCCCCCTCCACGCGGGGCACCCTGCAGACGGGCCAGCCTGGCGGGGAGCCCTGTCCTGACTGCACTTGGGGTGGGACAGCATCATGGGGCCTGCGCTGCTGCGTCAGGGCACAGGGAAGGCGGGACCAAGTCCGTGCGAAGGGGGCGTGGAAACCGTGCAGCCGTACTGCCGGGAGAAGCGTGGCTCCGGGAGCTGTCCTGAGAGCCCAGCTAGGCCAGGGTTCCAGTTCCAGAGCGGCCGGCAGCCCCGCTAACGGGCAGTGACGCGGGCTGGCCGTGGTGCTGCAGTGTGCCTTTCCCAGGACTCCTGCCTGCGGGACAGCCTAATGGGTAGTCCCACTGAGACCAGGGCCCCTCACGCAGGAAAGCTGCTCACACTGGCGATGCTCTGTGGCTCGGCTGAGCCGCACTGGTGCAGGTGCCCACCCTATGTTCTTCCTGGCGTCCGAGGCACTGATTCCGTACACCACCAGGACCCTGCGCAGGGAGGGCACCGCCCGGAAGGAATGGGAAGTCGGCAGGGGGGGTGGGGGGTGCGACATGCAATGTGTACGAGGGAACGGGGTGTAGGCCCCGTTGCAGGTTCGCAGGCCCGTGCCTGCATGGTCCAGACCCAGCCCGCTAGGCCGGGAGGTGCGTCTAAACTCTTATCTCGAGCCGCCAGCTTGGGCTTGACCATTAGGATGTGGTGTTCTCCTTGCCAGACGTGGTAGGGGTGGGGGGTGCCCCGCAGCAGACAGGCCCATCCCGGAGCTGCCAATGGTGTGTGCCAGGTATGTGCCAGGGCCCGGCAGTGCCTGCGGAGGAGCTGGCAGCTCTAGGATGCAGCGAGCCGGCGGCCCCACCCGCCGCTGTGCTGGCCCCCGCGTGGCTCAGGGCCTGTCGTGGGCCCGAGGCTGCTGGGTCACCACCAGCTCCAGCAGTTTGAAACCTGAGAAAAGTGCTGCGGCCGCAGTGTTGGGCATGCTGGGTCCTGGGACAGACCAGCAGATGTGATGGGACCCCTCCCACCCCGATGGCCACTTTGCTTTGCCAGTTGGTTCCCTCCTTCCCAGGAATCGTGGGTGTGGGGAGGGGCTTGGAGGGGGCAGGGGGCTTGACCACCCAGCCCCTGCCCCTGACACACCCTGGCACTGTCTCCCCAGTGTGACCAGTACCGCAAGGGCATCATCTCAGGCTCCATCTGCCAGGACCTGTGTGAGCTGCACAAGGTGGAGTGGAGGACCTGTCTGTCATCGGCCCCGGGCCAGCAGGTATGCCTGCAGGCAGGGCGGGGTGGGCCTGGGGCTGAGGCCGCCTGTGTAGCGGGAGGGCCACATCTGCAGAGGACCCCTGTGGTCCCGTGCAGGTGTACAGCGGGCTCTGGAGGGACAAGGATGTGACCATCAAGTGTGGCATTGAGGAGGCCCTGGACTCTAAGGCCCAGCCGGATGTGGCCCCCCGACGGGAGCTGGTGCTGTTTGACAAGCCCACCCGGGGCACCTCGATTAAGGAATTCCGGGAGATGACCCTCAGCTTCCTCAAGGTCAGTCGGCTTTCCTGGGGAGCGGATGGGCTGTCTGTTGCAGCTGTGGAGTCCGTGCCCAGGATGCGTGTGGTGGGCAGCCTGGGCACCTACGTGCAGGCCAGGTGCAGGTGGACCCCAGGCGGGTGGCAGGCCAAGGAAGCAGCCTCCCCAGGGCAGGAGGGGGCCAGACGGGCTGGCAGAGCCAAGGCCCTGAAGCAGGTCCACTGTGGCAGGAGGTGAGGACCAGCCGGGAGGGGGAACGAGGGCTCGGGGATGAAGGCACCTGCCAGCCTCTGCCCTCTGCCGATTCTAACCCCCAGAAGTTGGAGGCTTCTCTGTGCCCAGGTGCCCACTGCCCAGGCTCCCCACGGGCACCCCAGGCCGCTGGGAGTTGGGAGGCCTGACTGGTAGCAGCAGGAGCACAGGCCAGGGAGGGTGAGGGGCCCCCATGTTGCTGGCTGTCCCCTCCAGCTACATGGTCGCAGGCTGGGACTGCCAACCTGGCAGATGCGCCAGTCTCGCCCATAGCCGCCTTGCCAGGACCAGGTCAGGCGAGGTCATGCTCCCAGGGCTCCAAGATGACCAGGTCTCCCTTCCTTTGGTCCCAAATGCCAGGCGAACCTGGGAGACCTGCCCTCACTACCAGCGCTGGTTGGCCAGGTCCTGCTCATGGCTGACTTCAACAAGGACAGCCGGGTGTCCCTGGCTGAAGCCAAGTCCGTGTGGGCCCTGCTGCAGCGCAACGAGTTCCTGCTGCTGCTGTCCCTGCAGGAGAAGGAGCACGCCTCCAGGCTGCTGGGCTACTGCGGGGACCTCTACCTCACCGAAGGCATTCCCCACGGGCCCTGGCATGTGGCCGCACTACCGCCCCTGCTGCGCCCACTGCTGCCGCCCGCCCTGCACAGCACCCTCCAGCAGTGGCTGGGGCCCGCGTGGCCCTGGCGGGCCAAGATCGCCATCGGCCTGCTGGAGTTCGTGGAGGAGCTCTTCCATGGCTCCTACGGGACCTTCTACATGTGTGAGACCACGCTGGCCAACGTGGGCTACACGGCCACCTACGACTTCAAGATGGCCGACCTGCAGCAGGTGGCCCCAGAGGCTGCCGTGCGCCGCTTCCTTCAGGGCCGCCGCTGCGAGCACAGCGCTGACTGCACCTACGGGCGCGACTGCAGGGCACCTTGTGACAGGCTCATGAGGCAGTGCAAGGGTGACCTCATCCAGCCCAACCTTGCCAAGGTGTGTGAGCTGCTGCGGGACTACCTGCTGCCCGGCGCCCCTGCCGACCTCCGGGAGGAGCTGGGCTCGCAGCTGCGAACCTGCACCACGCTGAGCGGGCTGGCCAGCCAGGTGGAGGCCCACCACTCGCTGGTGCTCAGCCACCTCAAGACGCTGCTGTGGAAGAAGATCTCCAACACCAAGTACTCCTGACAGCACGGGTCGGCCTCCTCCCTGGTCGCCCTGGGGGACCCGACCCACGGCCGCCTCTCCCTCCCTCCCTCAAGCCGTCCCCACAGCATCGGGGCTCCCTGGATTGCAGCAGCCCAGATGGGACCCTCAGAGCTCAACGAAAGGCTGGACAAGGAGGGCAGGAAGAGCCTGGAGACCCAAGGGGGACCCGCCCAGGCCCAGCTGGGCTGTTGCTCTGAAGAGCATCATGCAAATAAATAGCTTTTATGTGATGCGCCAGTGTCTGGAGTAGAGCACCGGCCCCGGCAGCTGGGCGCTCAGCGGGACGTCCCCTCGCCCTGGTCCTGTGCTGTCCCAGAGCCCTTGCCTGGCCTCTCCCCTCACGGTGCGCCATCCGTCACAGGGGCTTGGGGGGAGTCTGGGAAACTTTGATTTCTAAAGTAGCCAATAAACAGCAACGCCCAAGCCTGGATTATGGCTTGGCTTATGATAAAGGTCAGACCAAGATACTCTAGTATCAACACAGATTGACCACAATATTCTAAAAACTGATTTTACAAAAATTAGCCATTGGCTTTCAAACTCCTTATCTAGGCAGCAGCCAGGTGATGCTGCACTGCAGCTCTTCCCTGTCCCCTGCGAGGCTGCGCACCCAGGGGCGTCCAGCACCTGCCCCCTACAGGGAATCCCCCTCAGAGGAAAGTTCAAATCAGGATACAGTGTATTCAAGACCAATTTATTCTCAAGTTTTGCCAACACAGAAATACTCTCCTTGAAGTGCATCAAATCTTTCCATTCACTTTTTAAAACCTCTTGCTTAAAATTCCAACTGTAATGCCCGTATCCCTAATGCTAATCCTTTTTTTTCACTCTTGCCCAGGCGGGAATACAGTGGCATCATAACTCACCATAACCTAAAACTCCTGGGTTAAAGTGATCCTCCTGCCTCAGCCTCCTGAGTAGCTGGGACTACAGGTGCACACCATTATGTCCTGCTAAGTTTTTACATTTTTATAGAGACAGGGTCTCACAATGTTGCTCAGGCTGGCCTCGAACTCCTGGCCTCGTAATCCTCGACATGGGGCTTTAAAAGGGGCAATTAAAGTAATATGAAGTCTGTTCTGCACAGGGTGGTCCCAGCAGGTACCTCCAGGCAGCTGTGGTACAGCCCCACCCAGGCAGAGGGTTGAGGTCACAGGCATGCCAGCGTCAGCCTGCCCACCCTTGGAATAAAAGCAGGACAGTCGGCAGCTGCGTGGCCTGGGGTAGGCGGGCCTCAGACACCGCATGTGCCTGGTCCCAGGGTGGCAAAGCCCACAGCTGCACCTCCGTCCCTCCGTCCTTGCTGGACTCCAGATCTGAAAAATGAACAAGACGGTGAAGTAGACCAGGGCTCGCTCTTAACCTGGACTCGCTGAATGACCTCTAGGACATCCCATCTGTGAATTCCCGAAACTGTATTTAAAGTTATGTATTTTCATTCTGATGTGACCCTGTAGCAAGGTTTGTCAACAACAGCACTGTTGGCATCGGGGCCACATAATTCTTTGTCGTGTGATCAGTTTGTGCACTGTAGCAGGGCCCCCAACCTACGGTGAGTTGTATAATTACTTCATTATATATTATAATGTAATAATAATGGAAATAAAGTGCACAATAAATGTAATGCACTTGAATCATCCCCAAACCATCACCCTGCCCCCCTGCCCAGTCCGTGGAAAAACTGTCTTCCATGAAAATGGTCCCTGGTGCCAAAAAGGTTGGGGACCACTGCTGTAAGATGTGTAGCAGCAACCTTGGCCTCTGCCCACTAGACAGCACCCCCCATTTCCGCCTATTTTATGAAGACATAAGCTATATTTAGACATTGCCACATACCCTGGGAAGGGCACACAAATCACTCTGGTTGAAAACCACTAATCTACACCGTCCTTTGGGGGCCCCAAAGGGCCCTGACTTTGCTCTCCAACAGAACAAATGCTACCATGAACCCCTGGCATTCCCATTCCATACCCTACCGTGAACCCCTGGCATTCCCATTCCATACCCTACCGTGAACCCCTGGCATTCCCGTTCCATACCCTACCGTGAACCCCTGGCATTCCCGTTCTGTAACTGACCCAAAGAAGTCTCCCCCTCGCGTCCTGCTTGTCTCAAGGCTCCGGACAACACCAGAGTGGGGCAGCTCCTGAACCCCCATCCAGGGCCCTTCCTCTGTGCACAGGGCTTGGGGGCCACCCAAGGAGTGGCAATGGTGGCCAAACACAGGCAGTTTGTACCACCCCAGAGGTTCTCAGTCACACTTGCCCAAGTCCGCCTCGGACAGGTCTACAGACGAGAGGAGAATTCTGGGCATTCTAGGAATGAGACCCTCTCCTGGTTCATCTCACTGTACCAAGAGCTCGCCCTGTGCCAGGAGCTTTACACACAATCTCATTCAATCCTCATAACTGGCCCCGCTTCATAGATGAAGAAAATGAAAACTAAGTGCAGTGTCTCACCTGGGTTCCCAGTAATATCTGAAAGCAAGTACAGCACTGTCACCACTGCACACGCCACCGCCCCTCATGGAGCAAACCAGGGAGGTCATGTTCCAAAACAAAAACTACATGCTACCTCCCTGTGGTTCTGGGAAATGTCAGGCTACAAACCATTCTTAGTGTTCACTGGGTTCGGAACACTGAGCGTAGAAATAGCCACTTTCTCTTTGCCCCGATGTCACAGGCACAGCAAAGCAGCCACACCTGTGGTGCTGGCAGGACCAGTACAGCATCTGCAGGGCAGCCACTCACTTCCAGCCCAGAGCCAGGGTGGGCAGGCGCCTCAGAGACGGAGCCCTTTGTCTCTCCTCTTACCTTGATGCCGGCCCGGTCATTCTGGCCAATGCTCACACCGCAAGCCGATCTTCGAGGGTTGACAGTCACGTTCCTATCTGTACCAAATAACAAAAATGCTTGGCACAGACGCAGGAGCACAGTACGAGCTGCCACCATCAACCAAGCGCCAGCAACCCCTTCCCTAGTGCTTTGTGTTCCTAGATGATTCTGGAACACTGCCCCTTTGACAAGTGCACAGAATGAATCAACTATCAAGTATTGTACTTTATTCTTCCTATTACTAGTTTTTAAAACTAATGTATGAAGGTTGCTGCTGCTAAAGGCACCCTCTACCTTCCCACTGTCCCCTTCCAGACCCCCAACGGCCAAAAGTGAGGATTAGAACGTGCTCAGCCTCCTCTCCTGGAGGACCTAGTGGTGCTGGGTAAACCAGGACGACCACCTCGCTGGCCAGGAAGCCCTCCTGACTTCCACACCCACACGGCCACCCTCCCCCAGAGCTACTACCGAGGGACTAATAGATCGAAGCCCACAAAACGAGAGCAAGGGGAAGCGGCACAAACCCCTGCGCTGAGCATTGCCAAGTGTCAGACTAATAATCATTCAGACGTCCACGGGTCAGAACGCTGAGCGTAGACATAGCCTCTCTTCTCTCTGCCACCTAATGACGCAAACGCGGCACAGCAGCCACATCTGCAACGCCTCTCGGGGCAGCACGTGTTGAAGGTGAAACAGTTCACATCTTCATTCCCCTGGAGAGGGAGCTTCACGACCACGCGGATGCAGGGCGAAGCTGTCCCTGCGGTCAGGTAGGATGTCACATGGGAGGGGACGGTTGTACTTGAGGTGAACCTGTTCCAGAACCAATATGCCAACTTACCCAAGACCCCAGCATCCCTCGCGGGTGTAGCTGCCAGTAAGCGAACTCCCTAAAGAAGAAACCAACATTTCACACACATCTTGGCAAGATCACAAAGGAACGTTGCGCTAGGGCATATTTTGCTGCATCTGGTCTCCCAGGAGACAGACCAAAGAAGGGTCCCAGTCGCCAGAAAGCTCCTGCCTAACAAGGGCCATCCTAGACAAATCTACCCCATCTTACTCTCTCCCCTTACTCCCTGCTCAATTTGGCAGGTGTGTGTGGAAATGCAGGCTACAACACAGCGGCACCGTATGAAATCCAACAAGATACTGGCTGTTGTACCCCGCGGACATCAAGGAACCAGGCAATGCCCGACAGAGACAGCCGAGCAGCTCCCCCTTTCCACCAGGAGACCGCCTCGCCGAGTAGCAGCATTCACACCCTCTGCACTACGCAAATCACCTAACTTCTGGACCGAACCCAGTGAGAAGTGATAATTGACATTTTAAAAAGAAACCCAGAGACACGTGACTTCCTCAAAGGATCAGCTAGTGAGGGAGGCAGCTGGTGTGGAAGGCTCGTGGATAAATCTGGGGGGAGAACAAATCTGGGGGCAGGACGCTCTTCTGCAATGACCACATTCCCCCATCGAGCCACCACCTCGCCAGACTTCCGAAGTTTCCTAGGTGAAAGCGAGGCGGGACGTGAAAGGCCGGGGCAGCTCCCTTCCCGCCCTCGGCACGGCCGCTCCTCCTCTGCGTCCCGCTTCCCCGTTCTGCAGCTCAGAGCGCAAGGCGGGGAGGCATGTGGGCGGCGTCGGCGCAGACACCGACACCCTCCTCCCAGCCCCGCGGGCCACCCCGGGCCGGACCCGGAGCCCCCAGAGTGCGGCCGCGGGGCCCCGGGCGAGCCCTTCCCCTCGCGAGCGCGCAGTCCCACCTGCAGGCCAAGCGCGCCGCCGCCGTCCGGGTCTCGGGCCGAGCAGCGCCGGGGAGAGCGCGGCCACGCCTGCCCCGGCAGACGAAGCCGGAGGACGCGGGCCCGGGTGCTCGGGACAAGCTGGTGCCCTACGGCGCTCCATGGCCGCCGCCGACGTTCGCAGAGAACGCGCAAGGACGCGCCGCGCCTTTTATAGCACGTACGGCGGCCCGCGAGGGCCAACCGGCGCCGCCTCACGCCGCACCCCGGTCGCCGCGGCAGCGCCTCCTGGCGGCCTCCCGGAGCCAACCAGGCGACCGCGGGGGGACCGGACCTACCCCCGGGGGCGGCGGCTCCGCGTCTCCACTGTCCGGGGAAATTTCCCGGGTCACGGGGCTGGGATCCGGGCCAGGACGTCGCCCGGGCGCGGGTGGCAGGTGCGGCGGCAGACGCCGAGGGCCCCAGGGGACGTGAGGAGGTGCGGCGGCGCGGGGACAGGACCCGGCCTCGCCGCGTGACCCGCCTCGTTAACTGCGGGGGAGGGGAAAGTCGCCTCCGACCCCCGGAATTCAGCGCGTACCTGCGTGAGGACCGGCCCGTCGCCCGGCTCCGCGCGGTTTCCGGCCCG